TGGGTAATTTGCTCCTTTATTGTCTGCAGAATAACAGCAGTGACAGCATTGACTTTCTCTAATGAACAGCTGCTCAGTGCTAGGATCTATTCCCGGAGGAGGCTCACAGGGATGAATAAGGTTTCATGCTCCTCCTCCAGAGAGGGTGAGAAAGTTCGCAGAACAGAAGATTATTGCTTGATTGTCAGAGATCTCCAAATCTTGACCTGCTGACAGCTGAGAGCTGAATGTGTCGCCATGCAAGTCATGTTTAACCTTCCAGCACTTTAGCCAAGGCAGAGTGTTCGTGGAATCAGGAGAGAGGTGTTAGTTCCCATCCAAGAAGTCATCCTCTTGTCACTGCAAACGACCATCACAAATTGGCTGAACAAAAAGCATTTTCCTCCTGTTGCACTGTCTGAATTTTTTGCTGATACTCTGCACTAACAAGAGCAGGGAGGCGGGAGAGGATCGCTCTTGAATTATGGATGCATTAAAAGCAGAGCCAAGTTATGAACTCTTGGAGATTGAAATCACTGCTAGATATTATAACTCAAGCCATAAACTCAAATAAACATTTTGAGCTTTGTCCCAATCACTCCCCTTGGTGCCTCCCTTGACACCCCTGCTCAGAGTTCACTTTCACTGTGAAATGACACAATTGGAGTGTGCTGAAGTGTGTCTGGCCACTCACTCACAGGTTCCCTGTGCTCCCCTCCCCACCTCCTTTTTGATTTATAACACACATCATCATAAATGCTTTGTTATATTTCCTCTGTGCCTGTCTTAAACACAGCTCCAGGCACTGAGGGTTGCTGGTGAGAGCAGTGGTACAACAAAGTGGATACCCAGGTTTGGCCTGACTCCTCTGTCTTGTGACAGGAAAGTAGAAAAACACAAACTGAGAAGTCCTCTGTAGTGAGTCATTTGGAAACAGTAAACTGCAGGCAATATTTTGAAATGTTTTTGCAGCTGATCAGTAAGTTTGGGCTCTTGGTCTGTGGTAGCACCTCTGTTGTCTCCCTGTGCAGGAGTTGAGTTAACAAAGTGTGAAGGAAGAGAGCTCCCTTCTCAAACTCTTTCAGTGCCCTTAAGATTTCCCTCAGTTCTGTTCACTACTCACAGTGATTTCAGAGCCATTCCTGGCACCCGCTATGTGAAAAGAGTAAAATTGATCCATCTGATTCAGAAGGGCAGAAAGTCCACAAAGGCCTCAGTGATGGAGAGTTTTGATGTGAATCCATGGGTTGTGCCTTGGGCTGTGCAAAGCTTTTGCCTGGAGCAGCTCTGCTGCTTGGAGAGACAAAACAAAGCTGGCAGAGGGGGAGAAATCTCAAAGCCCAAGTTTTAAATAGCAGCTCTGTGAAAGCTTTTAATGCCCCAGAGCAGCCAGCATGGCGCAGGTGCATTCAGTGACCTGTTTTGTTCAGGCAGTGAAAGATGTCTTGGAAACTGCAGCTCTTTTTTTGCTTTTGTTCTGACAATATTCCCTCTTGACCTGAAATTGTCTTAATGGCAGTGGAGACAAAAAGCCTCACGTTGGTTTTACTCTTGGATGCATGTTGGAATCCCCTGTGTGGAAGTTTCCCTGGTTAGCTGAGTACTGTTCTTGGGAACTCCTCACTGAAGCAGTTTGTAGGGGTGAACTTGCAATCCATTGTGTCCAACCAGCCTAGAGAGGTGGCAAGGGGAAAATGTGCTCCAAAGTGGCTCAGTTTAAAGAGAAACTTGACTTGTGGACTTGCTCTGAGACACCCACAATGGAATACAAAGCTGGAGAGAAATGTGTTTGTGTGTGCAAGAAGTGTAAGGGGCATTCATCCATGCACACACCCAGGAATGCACTGAGAAAGCAAACAGAACTGTTTATGTTTGTAATATAATTTTCAGTAATAATCAGATATGGGGCCTGCACTAATAAATTTCCCAATAGCTTTTTAAGGCTGAAACTGAGGTAAAACCCCTCTCCTAGTGACTGACAGCACTACCAGGCAGCTGTCAGGGACCAAGTGATACAGGACAAGTGCCTTCAGGTGAAGCTTCTATAACCTGTAAATTGCCTTTGCCAGTCAACACCTGGGGCCATGTACCTGATGGAACAGATGAGTGTTTCAGTCAGGTTTGAGCAGCTTTCTTTCTTTCTCTAAGCTTGGTAGAGAAAGCTGCTTGGAAATCTGTCAGGGAATATATTACCATCTGGCCGGTGTTATTTTTTTTTTTTTAACTCTAGATTTATTTTTTCCCCCAGTAGTGCAGAAAAAGACAGCTTTTTGCACACAGACATGCCTCAGCCATGTCCTGCCCAGCAGGTGCGTGGTAGCCGGTGGTGTTGGGTAAAGAATCTCACTCCCAGGGTAGGATGGACATCCTACCATGGATATTCCTGCTCCCAGGATATATGGTGTCAGCTGCTGCCCTGCTCCTTTTCATCAGAAGCTGCAGTGGCCCTGCAGGGAGTGAGCAGGGTGATCAGATTAGGCTCACTGAGCCCTGTGCAGGGTGAGCTGAGGAGCTGAGCCTGAGCCTAGGCTATGTGGAGATGTGTGACCACATCCAGCCCTGCTAAGCACAGAGCAGTTCCTCACCTGGCTCCTTTGCACTGCTTTCCCCAGCTCACTCATCACAACTGATTGGGTTCTCCAGTGTCTTTCCAGCACTGTGACCTTCCCTGCAATGGCTGCTGTTAACCCTTTGCCTTTGTTTCTGATGATCTTTCATGTGTTTTCTTCCAAATCTTGGCTCGAAATCTCCTCCTTGTTCTTTCTCTGATGTTGCCTCATCCCTATGTGCTGTATGGGGTAGAGACCTTGTATTAACAATGTGCAGAGCAGCCTCACCTATCAAACTGGGCCCCACTGAAGTCCCTGTGCTCAGTTCTTGTGCAGGAGTAATGATTTCTTGTGGATTTTAGAGCTTTGTTGAACTAGAGCTGGAGTTAAAAGAAAGCTGCTGTTGCAGAAAGCCTTGAGTTTCTCTGATCCTTGAGTTTATGTATCTGGGGTGGAAGCTCTTGTGTCAGTTTTTGCATTAAGCCCATTTTCTCTCTCAGTAGTTCAGAGTGACCAGGATTTTGATCTGATTGTCAGTGACTTCTCAGAATCCATATCTGCTGAGTTTTCTTCCTGTCCCTGTGCTGTCCCCCAAGTTGTCCTGCTGCAGCCAGGTGTGCTGGCTGTGAGGCTGAAGGTGTCTGTGGATGTGGGCGATGGGAGCAGCAATGGATGTGATGGAGCAAAGCCCAGGCCAGCCCAGAAGGAGACTAGGTTTGCCTGTCCACAGCAACCTCTCTGTGTAGGGTACTCATTCTGCTGGAAGGACGACAGCTGGCTTGGCTGTTCCCTGCCCCAGGGCAGCTCCTCCTGCTGGAGTTTGCCCAGGGCTGGGATGTGGTCCGGCCACTGCCCCAGGTCAGGCACTGTGGGCGCTCCTTGGTCTCTGCTTCCATCTGCTGGACAAGCACTGGCTCCTGCTCACTCCCAGTTTCCCTTGGTGCCTCAGGATTCTGCTGGCTCCTTTTGACTGTGCTCATGTAATTCTAGAGATGGAAATCCCTTTCACGCACGTATGGACTGCGAGAACATTTCAGCGTGGAACCAATGCTTTGGCAAGACTGCCCTGCTTAGATTGACTGGCACCGAGCCTGGGGCTGGGCTGAGCACAGCACATTCAGTGCAGCCCTGTGTGGGCCTCCTGCCGTGGAGGCAGCTCTGTGTGTGGGGCTGAAGCTCCACTGGTTTGTATCCCCAAGGAATTCACATATGGGTGAATTGTTTGGATGCTTCATGAATGGCCAGTGAGGGTCTCCAGAAGTGACCAGAGCAGGTGCTAGAAGACAGCATGTAAAGAAACTGAGCAGGGAGGATATGGTGCTTTTCTTGGACATCTCCCTCAGCATCTAACAATCAGAGTCCCAGTCAGAGTGTCCCAGCAGCCAGGAACATTTTGGGGACTGTAATGAGACCATATTTAACAGTCCTGGTAAATGTGTCCTTTTTGAGCATGTCTGAATGTCTTGGGTTTTGAACTCTGCAGTGTCTTGATACACGGAGTTCAGAAAGGTCCTGCTTTTATTTGTTTGATACCTGCTGCCAATAACTTTCATTGCACACCTAAGTGTTACTGGTACTACGTGACTCCTCTACAGTTATTTCTCCCTTCATGAGGACAACAACAAAAGTGTCCCCTAGAGTTAGAGGTATTTGAGAGAGCTGGAGGAACTGGTGAGGGTCATGAACACTCTGGTCTGCTCACGACTGCTCCGGTTGTTTTCATCTGACAACAGAAATTTGGCTGCTGCAAAGGCATTTCCTTAACCTTCCCTTAACCTCTGCTCAGCAGTGGGCAGGCACAGGCAGAAGGTTCATTTCAAGCAGAATATCCCCATCCCACTCTCAAGGCACTGTGCAATGCAGCCCGGAGACCTTCCTGTAAACCTTGCTTGATTTAAGTGTTGGCTCTTGGTCTGTGCACGTACAAGCTACACAGCACTGTCTCCTCCAGATGTGGGGTGATTGATCAGTTTTTGTGCTGTCAGGTGAAGGCCAGGACGCAGCCATGACCTCTCTGCATTGCAGTTTACAATCCAGCATCTGGCTATTAGAATTTCTTTAGCCAAGTGACTGGATTCTTTCTGAGCTGCTCCAGTGCCTTGGTGGAGGGTGAGTGTTAGTGTTGCTCCGTTTGAGGACAGTGGTGTCTTGTTTCATCTAACAAAGCAACATGTAGCAACAGTTCATTAAGGTGTTGGGTTGAAATTCTACTTGTTTTCCATGTGGAAATCCTGTTATTAGGACCCTCTGATTAGACTGAATTTTGCTGGGCTGATTGTTTGTTTCTTTAGTAAAAATTCTGTAGTCAGATAAAAGCAAGACCTGTTTTTCTCCCGCAGCTGGGCCCAAGCCATTTCCACACATGAGACTGCCCAGGGAAGCGCAGCTAGGGGGCCAGGATTCTAAATGCTCTTTTTTTCTGGAAACTTTGCATCTTGGAAGGACAGACTTTTTTTAAATTTTTGACATTAGGTTCCCAGGCAGCAGGAGGAGATGTCACCATCGTTGCTGCTCCAGAGAACACCACGGTGGTGGCTGGGGAGAGCGTGGTGATGGAGTGTATGGCAGCTGCTGATCCCACCCCCTTTGTCTCCTGGATACGACAGGGTGAGTATGAGGGACAGGACTACATTTCTGTTGTCCACAGGAACCTGTGGATACTACAGTCCGAAAATCTATTAAGAGTGGAAAAATCTGGAACAGGAAGATTGCTTGTAACATCGATACCTAATGACACAGGTGGTGTCGCAGTGTGGGGTGTCCTTACTAAAGTGAAATTATTAATTAAATCTTGAAGGTTACAAAGCACACAGTTCAATTTATAGTTGTTTGACCTGTGCCTGGATGCCTTTTGATCTAAATTAGTCTTTCTCATGGGACCTGGAGCAGTAAAGGTCATGAGATGGGGTCAGGTGCCACTCCTCCCCAGGCTTCACAGGGGATTCTGTGGAATCTACCATTGCACTGGAGAAATAGCTTGTATTGTCTTGCAGCATTATAAAACTTGATAAGATCTGTTAATCCTTGGAGTGACTAGGACTGTTACTGGGAGGTTTTTGTTAAATTGTAGGATTGAGGAGCTGCTTAAGTCTCATCAGAGGTGTATGAATGAGCTGGGCTGGCAGATGTTACCCAGGGCTGATAGCCAAAGTCATGAGTTGGATGCCAGTGTCACTTCACTGAGAGTCACATCCATCAGATGTGTTTCAAAGGCTCTGACTGAAGATATTCTCAGCTAAGAGGTTGATTCTCCCCTAGAAAAGGCTCTCAGTCATTTTCATAAATCCAGGTCATGATTTAAGACTCCTCTCCCCTGTAACCATTTATTGTGGTTGGTTTTCAGCCCAGATTTGTCCGCAGGCGGTGATTTTAGCATATAAAAATATTTACTTTTCTCCACAAAAAAGGAGCAAAAAAACCCTCAGAGGATACCACTTCAGAAATCAAGTGAGCAAGGCTTAAATGTTATGGCAGAAATGTTTTTAGTTTATCCCATGCACTTTACAATTACGAATGCTCAGCATTCCCATGCTAGATCACTTACTGTTTTACTGAGAGCTGCTGATGCCCATGGTAAAGTAGATAATATTAGAGTTAATTATCATTATGAGAGTTTTTCGTAAGGAAGGAAGACAAGAGTGGAGGGGCAAGAATTGGTGAACCAGTTCTTTCCATGCTCTATTTTCAAGTGCTTTCTTGGTCCCATTCTCCTTCCTTGTGTGGACTCTTCAATTTAAAAAGATGGAGTAACAGTACAGGTCATTCTGAGTTACACAAGTTTATTTCCAAGCCTTCATTAAGGAGCAGGCTGAGTTACTGGACCATAAGTCATGTGGGGAATACCAAGGATATACCTCCAGGTTTCCAGTTTGGCTCTTGCCAGCCTTGGTGGTGTCAGCTAATTGCTACCATCTGGAGTCAGTTTTCCAACCAACCGCTCCAGTGCAAACGGGATGTGCAGACTGTGTGCTCTGAGTGTGCAGCCACTGAACTGTGAGGCCATCTGAAGACCCCCAAAATGCAGGGAGGGGACAGAGGATCTGCTCTCAGCCACATTCCCTGGTAGCGCTAAGTCAGTGCAGCTATTCACAGGGGAGATGGGGAGTTTGTTCTGTGTGAGCTCCAGGCTCAGCTGAAGCTGGACAGATAAAGGTAGGCAGTGCTGAAGAGGTGCTTCGGCAGGTGGAGAGGAACAAGGTCTGGTGGTGCACAGGTACTGCACAAACTGGCTGGTTCTCCCAGGGTGTAGACTTGTGCCAGACCTCCCATCCAAGCCTTTCCTCAGCTTGTCCCCAGCTCTTGGCTTTGTCTCCCACACACTCTCAGAGGTACCAATGCCATATCCCTGAGTTACTCACCTCAGAGTGATGCTGAGAATATGAAGTGCCCAGCACCAGCCTCTGCCCTGTCTGTGATGCTGAGGAACCCAGGGCTACTTGAAGTTGTAGAAGGACATCTTAGCTTCTGGCCGGTGATACGGAGCTGCCCTTTCCTCCTTCCCTACTCAGCAGTCCTGAGCACCCAGCCTGGAGAATGAGGAGAACGCAACTCATGGCCCATGTCTGACATAAACACCAGAGTCCCAGGGAGCACCAGGTGTCTTTCTGACACCTCACAGCCAAGCTGTGAACAAGGAATGGATCAGGAATCTCAGTAAATTTGGGTTCACATCCAGGACACAGAGGAGGAGGAGAAGCCCCTGAGCTGTCAGTGATTCAATAGTCTTGCTGACATTGCATGAATGAGTGCCTGTGCTCACGATAGGGGTCAGCAGGCACATCCAGCAGCTTTTCCAAACCGTGTGTTAGCACAGCTTTCCCTTGAATGGGCTATTTCTAGGGCTCTCATTGCAGGCACACCCTAGGCATCAGAGACTGTTTTGATCCAAATCAGAACTTTTTGGATTATTACAGGCTAAACTAAACCTTGAGGCAATGTTGACTTGAGCTGGCTGCCAAGCACTGAGGAGTGTCCCGGCAGGAATCTTGTCTGTGCTGTGGTTTGGGGGTCTCTCCACTCCCCAGCTGTGATCCTGGCATTGCTTACAAGCCCTCATAAAGGGCAGCCTAGAGCTCCTTCCCATGTTTGTGCACATTTCTTCCTGCAGATGGAAAGTCCATTTCCACAGATGTGATTGTGCTGGGCCGGACAAATCTCCTCGTTCCTTCCAGCCAGCCCCATCACTCCGGGGTGTACGTCTGCCGAGCCAACAAACCCCAAACCCGGCAGTTCGTTACCGCCGCAGCTGAGCTCCGCATCCTCGGTGAGTAGAGAGCAGGCAAATTCTCAGGTACAAATGCTGACCAGCTTGCTGTGGGTTGCATGAATCAAAATCCAGGAGATCCCCAAGGGTTTGTGGCCTTTGTGGCCTGTGCTGGGTAAAATGGGAGCCAGGTTAGAGCCAGGAAGCTTGAGCTGGGATTGCTCTCAGTGGGAGTGTCTCCTCTTTAATTTGGGGTTTAGTTCCTGGTATTTACTGAACCGTTTTATGCCTTATTCTTGTTCTCCAGGGCTCCCCGTTGGAAATCTCTATCAGCAATTAACTTTCAGTATCCTGGAAGCCAGCAGGGAGAGCAGCCTAGGATCAGGGAATGCAGCACATGATTGATACAGAATTTATTTTTCCTTTTGGACACAGTCTAAATTAAGCCTCTAGAGTCTGCCTGGCAAATCCCATCTTGTAAGCAAAGCTGCTACTGAATAAAACATAGCACCGAGTTGGGAGGAGAAGGGATTTGCTTTGCTATCTTTTCCTCCTCCTTCCTGCATTAATTTTTTCTCTCTCCTCCCAGCTACTCCCAGCATCTCCCAGGCCCCTGAAACCATCTCCCGCACCCGAGCCAGCACAGCCAGGTTTGTGTGCAAGGCAGAGGGAGAGCCAGTCCCCACCATCCACTGGCTGAAGAACGGGGAGCCCATTCTCTCCAACGGGCGCGTGAAGGTGCAGAGCAGCGGCACCCTCGTCATCAACCAGATCGGCCTGGAGGATGCTGGCTACTACCAGTGTGTGGCTGAGAACAGCCTGGGCATGGCCTGTGCCACTGCCAAGCTCTCGGTGATCGTGCGGGAGGGTTTGCCCAGCGCTCCCAAGAAGGTCTCAGCCGTGTCCCTCTCCAGCACCACCGTCCTCGTGTCCTGGGAGCGGCCGGAGCACAACAGCGAGCAGATCATCGGCTTCTCCTTGCACTACCAGCGGGCTGTGGGTAGGTGTCACCTCCCTAGGCAGCACAGCTCTGTCAAAGCTACAAGGCACAGGCTGACCTTCTTCCCCAGCTAGTCACAAGTGTCAGGCAATTCCCTTTTCCTTTCAGGTAAAGGAATTTTCTCCTGGAGTCAGTATCAGACGGCGACAGTGCCTGTACATTAGCCAACATATTCTAACTTCTTGATTGGCAGTAGCATGTCCACACAGCTGAGTTGTCTGGATTCTATGGCACCAGGCACTGCTGATTTTATACATAATGATTTTGTATGCAAAGAGTGTGATTGCTAACAGTGATATCAACTAGCTGCATTGTGTTGGGCAATCACTAAATTATCCACACCCAGAATCTGAAGTGCGGCGCTGGCTGTCTTGGGGGTCTGTCTTCCCAAACAGCCAGAAAGCCAATGCTCCTGCTGAACTGTTGCCAGAGCTCTTCTGAAAATTAAACTGGTAACTGCAGCTGCTTCAGCTTGGATTAAGGAGTTTGAGTCTAAATGGAGACATTAATGTTGAGGCATTGGAATTTCTGCCCAAAAAACTCACATAAGAGATGAGGCTGTGCAGGTGCTGGGGAAACTGGAAAAGATACAGTGATTTTTGAAGTGGATTTAGTCTGTTGACCTTGTGAATTAAGTGATTTTTTCAGGAGTATCTTGGCAGTTCACTGACCTGCTGATCAGTGTTTCCTTGGCTCTAGGAACAGATAATGTGGAATACCAGTTTGCTGTTAATAACGACACAACTGAGCTGCAAGTCAAGGATCTGGAACCAAACACCAACTATGTCTTCTATGTGGTTGCATATTCCCAGCTCGGAGCCAGCCGGACATCCTCTTCCATCGTCGTCCAGACCCTGGAGGATGGTGTGTTGAATTAGATGGGTACTGGTGCCTAGGAAATGTTCTTGATCTGGTTCATGGTGAGCACTGAATGTGCTACAGAGAGTGGTAGCAGCTCCTGGAAACCTAAACCTGCACCCTTGTCTCCTCATCATCTTGGGTGATGAAGGGTATGAAAGTACCCTGGCTGATGGTGAGGCCCATGAGAATCCTTTGGGAATTGCAGGCAGCTCCTAAGGGCTTTCACCTAACCCATGTGATATTGCTCTAAGCTTCATTCTGGGCCAAACTGGATTTCAGCTCAGAAGAAATATCTATTGCAATTTGTAGGGGTGGGAGGAGCCTTGAGGTCAGACCCCTTAAGAGCCAGTAGTTTGTGTTGATTTTACCATTTATCACATAGCATTTTGTGAGCAGTAAAGGCAGAGTGCCAGAAGCACAGCTGCCCAACGGGAGGCCATGCACAGCTTTCAACAGGCTGCAGGACAGAGGCAAGCAGAGATAGTTTTGGCAGACCTCATGTGCATTATGTGCTTTTAATACTCCTGACATGGTGACCTGCGTGGTCCCATGTGTGTCTGAAGCCTGAAAGGCTGAGCTGAAAGCATGAAAGCTGCCTGCAGCCCAGAGCTGTGGTTCTCAAGGGAATGAGGATTCCCAGGCTGCAGTTTGGATCTGTGAGCCATTTGGTTTTGTGTCTCCTTCATGCTCTACAGTACAGCACAAGCTGAGAGTTGGTGTATGCCACCCTGCCCAGTTTGCCCTGGACCCGGGTCCCTGGGAGCAGTGTGGCTGGGGCCAGCAGGCTCTGGTCAGCCTGGAAGTGGAGCAGCCAAGCATCTCCCCTCCCAGACACCCCCAAAGGACTGTGGTGTGTTGGTTCCTGCAGGACAGACACCAAATCACCAGTGGCTGTGGTAGAGACAAGGCAGTGGCCTCCAACCAGCTCAGAGAGCTGGCAGAGATGTGTTGAGGTGTTGCTCTGGTCTTTGCTGACTTCTCTTGGTTGTTTACCCAGTTCCCAGTGCAGCCCCTCAGCTGTCCCTGTCGAGCATGACTCCTGGTGACATCCGTGTGACGTGGCTGCCTCCTCCTCCTGAGCTGAGTAATGGCAAGATAACCAAGTACAAGATCGACTACTGCACCCTCAAGGAAGGTGAGGGAAACACCATTTGGGGGTTGTGTTGACTGCTCCAGTGATGTTAACAGTCTGTGATGTGAAGGGCAGGTGGTGCAAAGCTGAAAATAGGGACCCGTTTTACCCAAGGGAGGAGAACCCTTACATAGCCTGGCTCTGTCTGGTGGTTATGGCAGTGCTACTTCACACCACCTCGAGGTGCCTTTCTGTGTGATTGTGGAGGAGCTGTGTCCCCAGGAGAATGGCCTGACCCATGTTTGTGCTGTCCCAGAAGTGTCTGCATGAGTAGCCCTTCACTGCCGTCTGCACTGTGTTTTGGGGAAAGAGCTTTATGCTGCTTGGGGAAGAGGAGTAAATGCTTTCAATTTCCTTAAAATGGAGTTCAATCAAAGTGATCCTTGTAGGAAAAAACCCTAAATACCCTGTCCAGGTTGTGTTGCTCTATTACCGAGTTTTATCTGATTTTATTTACATTGTCAGGCACACTAAGCAGGGTTCAGCAGGGATGGTAACATTTATGTTTGCTGGATGTGGCTGTTCCAATTCCATGTGTGCTTGCTTTGCAAATCCTTCTGGGTATTTGCTCTTAAAACTGTCAAATCTCTGCAGCTTCTCACTTACCAGGGTCATGATTCTTCCTGAGAGAAGGATGGTGAGTGTGATGAGGTGCTGGACATGTTCCCATGTCTTTGAATTGGCTCAGTAGTCTGTGCTGTGATTCCTGGCTCTGGTTCTTTTGCCTTGAGCCTGCACATGGCTCAGTGGCACCATAAAACCTTGGAAACACTTGTAGTCCAGGGATCACACTCAGCAGTATGCTGTTACATAGCAGGGACAGTGCTCCTGGCTGAGTTAACGCCAAGGGAAGTTAAAATCAAGACCTTTGTGTACTCTAAACATGAATCTTCAGCAAAACCAGTTAGCTGATATGGTGAAAATCCCAGGCTATTCTCAGTTTAAATTTCCTGTTACCTCCCTTATGAGCTTGGGTGGGCTGAAGAGGGAGCAGTAAAACCTCTGTCTGGTGTGGATGAGGGTGTGAATTTTGCAGCAAGCAGGGCTGCTGGACAGTTCTGGTTCACATTAAGGTGAGGGTTTAAATACAGCAGTGAGAAACATTGGAACATGCCATCAGCTCCCATTAGCTGTGTTCATGTTCCACCATCACATCATCAGAGCAAGGTTTCTGACAGCTCCCTCTGGGCAGGCTCTGTGGTGCTAAAGGCAGCTTGCAATTCAGAATGTAATGAAGGGAGTTGTCAGTCAGAATATCAGCTCTGCCCAACCTTACAGTTTTTTTCTGGTGGCATAAAACTGCTCTGAGCACAGCCAAGCCAGCCCAGGGTGTGCAGACCACGAGGGGGTAACAAGGCTTGTGGCTGCTCAGCTGTACTTCCCTTTGGCTGGGAAATCCCTGTTTTCAGTGGTGTCCCCTTGGTTCCAGCAGATCAGGTCACCTCCATCGAAGTGGGTGGAAATGAGACCCAGATCACCCTGTACTCACTCCATCCCAACAAAGTGTACAAAGTTCGGATTGCAGCCAGCACCAGTGTGGGATATGGGGCCCCTTCCGAGTGGACCCAGCATCGGACTCCTGACAGAGACAACCAGACACATGGTAGGAGACTGGGGAGTACCTGGGGTTTGGGATAGGGTGTGGGGAGCTTTAGGGATTTTCAGAGATATTTGCTTTCCTTTGGGAATTACAGCCATTGGTTTTGGTCAGACCAAAGTGCTCACCTTTGCTGCTCAGCAGCCCCTCTACATCTCACTGCTTGCCTGGGCAGCGGGACTTTGCACCCTCTATGTGCAGCTGTGAAAGTTCTTAAAAAAAAAAAGAAAACAAACAGAACTCCTGATCCCAGTGTTATGACATTTGGGAGCGAATAGACAATCTTGCCAAACAGAGCCAAGCCCATGCCAGACCCCAGCAGTGGTTAAAGATGGTGATATCTCAGAACACACTGAGAAACCTGCACAGTGGCTTTGTGACATCATTGTTTCCTATATCACCCAGCTGGGAAAGTCAGTGGTAGAGTGTGACTGTCCCACTCTCCACTGTTAGGGAGTAGAGACATCCCACTCAGGACAGCCTTTTCCTCACACTCTTCCCTGACTACTGAGGACCAGGAGGATTCAGTAGACCAGGGAAATGGAGACATGTGGCTCAATCTTTTTCTCTTGTCTTCTTTTTCCAGTTCCATTTGCCCCAACAGAATTAAAAGTCCGAGCGAAGATGGAGTCTCTCCTGATAACATGGCAGCCCCCAGCAAACCATGCCCAGATATCTGGCTACAAGCTCTACTACAGAGAGGTGGGCCCAGAGGAGTCCAGTGATGAGAGCCCTTTGGATGGTGCTGAAGATGAGAGCTGGGATGTAGGACCCATAAAACTAAAGAAGAAAGTGAAGCAGTATGAGCTGACTCGACTAGGTTAGCTGGCTTCATCTTCCTACCACTTGGTGTGGAAACCCAGGGCCTGTCTCTTGCACTTTGTAGCATCCCAGGATGCTCCCAAGAGTTGTTTGCATGACTGGAGATACATAGGGCCGGGACCATCTGAGGTGTTTTAAGATCATCCAAAATCCTTTCTGGACTGGGGCTCTTGAGGCTTGTATTGAGCAGAGTTTAAAGCACAGAAATTTCTGCTGCCAATTTAGCAGGGATTTTAACCAAGATACCAATATACTTTGTATATGCTAATAAGTGGTTCTTAATTAATTAGTGTTTTTATTGTGTCACTATAAAGAGTGCCAAGATTGAAATCTCCAGTCAGGACAATTATCTCTCCTTCCCTGTCTGTTTCTAAGGAGCTCCATAATTGCATGCTGTTTGAAATCTCTCTGTATTAAAATGCAGAGATGGGATAATTCACAGCATACTAATTTTCGCCCAGTATTCTCCTCCACCTCCCACTAAGGGAAGAGGGATGGAAGAGTGAGTGTCCATGACTGGAGAAGATCTGAGCAGCAGTGAGACCTGCCTGCCTGGTTCACTGTGCTTGGCATTTCCCACAAGGGGTTGTGTTCCTAACATCTGTTTGTATTAATTAATTGATTTGCTTATTGATACAGGATGGAGAGTCGTGGCAGATGCACCCTTGAAAGAGGCTTTCTGCTTCCTAGAGTTCTTCCATCCCCCACTTTATGCTTCACCCTGTTACTGCCCAGTGAGTGGAGACTGTAGGGTGCATGTCTGTTGTGCTGGTTCATCGTACACTTGTAGCATATATATTATGCACAGTGTAAAGGTCAGGCTGCAGCACCTGGAAGGACTGTTTGTGCCATCTCTAAGTGGAGTTTCCAGCTCTGTCACAGCCATCTTGCCATTGAGAGTGGTAACAGTGATGAGTTTCTCTGAAGAATATAGGTCTGTAATTATTGTGCAGAGGAAACCACATGTGAACATCATCACGTGCTGCTCCAACCACTGGCAAGTCAGTTGGTGCAGGGGCTGGGAGTGGGCTGAATTGGTTCCAAATGCTCTGGCACGATGATGCTGAGAAGGCTGCTTGTTCTTCTGTAATTACTTCCTTGAATTTGGGCATCTGTCAAGCCCTGATGGTTTCCGTATGATCTGGCGGCTGTGTATTGGCTATCCCTGTGTCGGGAGCGCAGGCTCGGGTTTCTCCCAGCCCAGGACGTTCCCTCTGCTCCCCTTGTGCTGTTGAATGATGTGCTCCTGCACACGCACAGTAAAGGAAGGGTCAGGAATCTGGCTGTGCTGAGGAAGGGAGGGGTTCTGCACATGAAACAAGGAGGAGTGGTTGGGATTTAGAAGGGTTTAGTTTTGTGGCACAGAACTGCCCTGTACCAGTACCTAGGGCTGCAGCTTGTAGACAGAGCGGGTAGTGGTCTCAGGAAGGGCTGGCTGCCCTGATGTGATCTGGGCTGATGGGGAATTAGCTGGGGGGATTCCCCAGATCAGGGTTGTCTGACTGGAAAGCACAGCACTGGAAACCTCTCCTAAGAGCCCTCTATAAAAGCAAATACAACACTATCTCTTGGGATTATCTTCAAGAGTCATTGAGTCCAACTGCCTGGGTACCTCAGTGTTGATAAAAAATGAAAGCAAATTCTGTCCAATTGTCTTTTAGATACTGATTGGCTTGAGGCACCGACCACGGCTCTAGGAAGTGTTCTGGTGTTTGAAGTGGTGTCAGGAAATCCCAGGTTGGGCACTGGGCATACCAGGCTGAGCTCAGATGTGGTGTGTTTCATGTCAGTGCAGACAAGGTCCAGCGTGGTCACTACATGTCCCTTGGCTCCACAGTTCTGTAGTGTCACTGAAGCCAGCGCTCTGCTCCTTGCCTTGGTTTGAGGTGTGGCTTGAAAGCGAAGACTTCTCCCATCTCGTGCTAATCTCTGGAGCAAACCATGTCTCCTTAGAATGGTATCACTAATGGTACCATGTGTCTTGTCTGAGAGGTGTGTGCTGAAGTCCTGTGTCAGAGATGGGCAGCTGGTCAAGAGCACACAGGAAATCCAGCAATTTCATCAGTCCACAAAATCAGAAGGAAGTTTTCCTGAGTCACCAGGAGGGGTTTCCTCTGAGAAGTTCTTAGTGACTTCCATTAATGTTCTAGCACTTACTCCCTGTACTGAGGTGCAACTACCAGGGCCATAATTTATGTGAAAAATAAATGGCAGGGATGTGAGCCTGTCTTCCCCATTCCCAAGAAGGAAGATTGCATTCCTTTGAAAGTTGCTCTCTGGAAATCAGGGTGTTTTCCCACTTAAAGGAAAGTATGGCTTCTGGCACTTGGCCAATATGAGCACCTTGAAATGCTAAGTGAGGCAACATATTTAGCATATTGGATATATTACGCAGCCATCCAGATTAGTGATTTAAAATGATCTGGACTAGATTATTCTGCTTATATTTAATGTATGATGGAATGCAGTGAAATACATCTGTTTTCATGCTGTCTACCAGCTTCTTGACAGCTTGATAGAGTTTTATGTCTGCCTGTTCTAAGAGCTTGAACATCTGGGCCTGTGTATAAAAATTGAAGCCAATCCTCTAACTGAGAAATCCAAAATACCCCTATTTTCAGGATGTAAGGTACTTGATCTTGCAGTCGAGCTCCCCTGGCGTCACGTGTAAGCAGCTGCTGTATTGATCCTGCCCAGGGATGGAGACAGAGGACTTGTCCTTTTCTTCACTCCATCCTCCAACAGGAGCTGCCCACAGCTGCCTCACATCTGTGAGCTTTTCCTCATCGTTTTGGATTGCACCGTCCATGATGTGCTCATGTCCCAGTGAAGCCCAGCCCAAGGTTCAGCCAGAAGGAGAGTGTGGTGCTGGCAAGAAATGGGCTGGGGGTTCTTTGTTCCACTGAGCCTGTGGTCCCAGCCCTTTGGAGGTTGAGTGCTCTTTGGCCTTATCCCCCTTGTGTGTGTTTAAAACATTTTTCTGTGGCTGGAGAGTGTGGAAATGCAGATCAGGCTGTCTTGGAGGCAGACAAAACTCTGTTTGCTTTTGGGATTCTTTGGGGGAGAAAAATGTGGCTGAACTGTTTTTATATTCTGAGCGCGAGCATGTGTTGTGGAGCAGAGAAAGCCTTTGGTAATTGGTACCATCAGCCTTTGGGAATGTAATCAGGGCAGTAATAATAAAATTGGCATCAATAAGAAAGGTTTCATTCTGCTTACATTGTCTGGCAAAGTGAGCAGTGATCTGTGAGGGCAGGGAATGAAGAGGCATGTCCCAAATTAACAAACTTCTCAATGTACTGCAGCCAAGGCAACAAAAGGCAGTGTGGACTTCTCTGGCTGAGCTCCTGAAGGGGCTGGCTGCTGCAGGGAATGTCTTCTTTGAGAACTTTTTATCTCCCAAGTTGTTTCTTCGATTAAATATCTCCATTAGAAATGAAGAAGCTGATGAAGGGAAGAGGGAAGTGGTTTTTAGACCAGGGCAGCACTGCTTGGAGACAGAATACCCTGTCCTGCAGCTCAGTTTGAGATTCCTCAGAGTGTGAGGCTCTCTGATGGGAAGAGCATGCAATGAGGACCCTCAGGTTTTTGGTGTGGGTTTTCTGTACATTGTTGCTTTTCTAATTGCAAATTGGAAACCTCTACTGTGAGGGCAAAATAGACACCATGCAACAAAGGCTGCCAGTGACTTAACAGGGCATTTGAGGACTTGCTGGAAGGAAGATCCTCACAGTAGTGAATAAATCAGAAAATACTTCAGGAACAGGAGGTGCATTTTGGGGGAGAAGAGAATGTCCTCACTCCTCAGGAATAAACAGTGCAGTGCAGTCACTCCCATGGTGGAGAGAGGAGTCAGCCTGTGTAGGTTTCTTTAGTTGCTTGTAAGAGAGGAAGATCTATAGATCCTGAGTAGATTGCTACAGGCCAGCACACTGGTCAGCCCTTGAGGGCTGGGGCAAGTCCACTTCCTGCTGATAATTTCTGTCAAAAGCAAGGGGAGAACCAAAAAGCAGCTGTGCTGATAACATACACCAGCTGTGAGACAGTGTTTGTGTGTGGGAAGCCTATAAGTGGAAGGGGGACTCCCTGCTGTAATTTAGGTATTAGGTGATATTTACTTAGGTATAAGGTAACAAAAACATATTTATTATGTTCAACCTACTTTCTTGGATGGTGAGAAAAGCTGGCAGGATCAAAGAAAATGTGTCTTACTAGGGAGGGTTGGTGACAAAAATAACCAAAGGCAAACCCTGATTGATTTTTCCAGCTCCTGGGAAACTGTACGAGGTGAAGCTGGTGGCATTCAATAAGCACGAAGATGGGTACGCAGCGGTTTGGAAGGGCAAAACAGAAAAGGCACCTGTGACAGCAGTAGGTGAGGAATGCCCTTCAGTTGTTGTATCTCTTCTGCTTGGCACGTGGCTTCAGAGGAGGGATTACAGAGGATGGACTTCAAAAAGGACAATACCAAAATAGGGAAGGTCATAACATAAAGGAACTTTCTTTGACATTGCAAAATGCATTGGAGGCATTGGGATGGAGAGAAAGGAGGAAAATACCCCCTTCTCATTAGGGTTGTTCTTCCACTGGGTGTGAGTGGCATTACTGTCATGTACACCTCTACATCTCTTTTTGTGCTGCACCATAGATCCCCCTGTGCAGAAGGGGCCTCCACTGCCTCCAGTCCAAGTCTATGCAGAGTCCAACAGCTCAACTTCCATCTGGCTCCGCTGGAAGAAGCCTGACTTCACAACAGTCAAAATTGTCAACTACACCGTGCGCTTCAGCCCCTGGGGCCTGAAAAACGCCTCTCTTGTGACGTACTACACCAGGTACAGAGGGTTCATCTGCCATGTGTTGTTCATGTCAGGAATGAACACAGGGCAGGAGGAAGTTGTGTGGAATTTCCAGAATTTAGCAAAATCCTGGGTGTTCCATATGCTGGGAATATCTGCCATGGTCACAGATAATGTTTAGGACTGCTGAGATGTGGCTGTGGGACTTGTCTTGAACACTAAGGAATCATTAACCGGTCTCTGCATTTTTTTTGCTGACCTTACAGACTTGTTAACAACATGGCTGGTTGCAATTATGCATTCATGATTTGTGAGATGATACTCACAATTTTGGTCTATAAATTGCTAGAGTTTAAGAGTTTTATCATTTGGGGATGTATTTTACATCTGTATACTTATGCCCATTTTTAGCCTCTAACCAGGCTGCTTCCACTTTTCCCTGCAAGTACATCAGAAATGGTCCTGGAGACTGGGAACTGTTTTGCTCTGTCCATGGGAACTGAGTGTTCTTGCATTCACATGGCTGCAAGAGATGGAAAATCAAATACAGTCAGAGTTAGGATAATCTCTTAGAGTGTTCCTGGTGAGGTGTGAAGGTGACTTGGGAGAACCCCTCAGGTGTTCACGGCCTTGTGCTGTGTGCTCTCTCTCCAGCTCAGATGAAGACATTCTCATTAGTGGGCTGAAGCCCTACACCAGGTATGAGTTTGCTGTGCAGTCCAACGGTGTTGGCATCGATGGGCCCTTTGGCAGCGTGGTGGAGCGCTTCACCCTGCCCGACCGTGAGTGTTTGTGGGAACCAAATCCTCATTTCTCCTGGCTTTCCTTGAGTCTCTATCAGATCCTTCCTAATGTGTCCCTGAGAGATGTGATCTCAGACCCCTTCAAAGCTCTGACAGCCTTAAGTCCATGCTGGGAGGCCCTCTGGGCATGAAAGCTCTACTCCTCTTCCTGCTGCTCATGCTGGCTCTTTATTTGTCTCTGCCAGGGCCCTCCACTCCTCCATCTGACCTGCGGCTGCACCCTCTCAACCCCTACGCTGTCCAGGTGCACTGGTGCCCACCTGTGGAGCCCAATGGCATCATTGTGGAGTATCTCATCCTGTACAATGCCAACAACACACAGCCAGATGACATGTGGACCTTGCTGACACGAGAAGGTGAGCCTCCTCCAGGTACTGCAATACCCCACAGTCCTCCTGCCTCCCTTCCTCTCTCTGGAGCCTGGTTGCTCAGTCCTGCTGCCTTGATTTTTGCCTCACTTTGCATACAGATAAATATTCAAGAGCTCATCCTGGTAATTTTCTTGAAGCATATGCTGTACCTGGTCATAGCAGAGAGTCCAGGGACATGGCTACTGAGAGACATGAAATCATGTGTGTCTGGGGCTGAAATAGCCATTATCATCCAGGAAATAATCTACAGATGTAGCCTGGCAGCCAGCAATTCCTAGAAAAATGTGTGTCAGCGGCATCACGAGTAGTCTGTATTTTTGGATCTGTAAGCAGGAAGTTCATTATTACTGAAGAAGTGTATGAAAAGTACAAAAAGGTCACAAAATCCCTCAATTCTGAGGGTCCAGAAATTCCACAGCTGCTTTTCTGTAGCCTCTGAGTACTCTTGAAACAGAACGTTTTAAATATCTTTTGATTTGCTTTTGGTCAGGAAACATCTTCAGCACTGAAGTGCATGGCCTGGAAAGTGATACCAGATACTTCTTCAAGATGGGAGCAAAAACAGTGGTGGGATCTGGTCCCTATTCCAACGTTAAGGATGTGCACACCCTCCGGGAGAAGCTGTCTGGTATGAATTCCTCCTTACCCCAGGGCAGGAAGGGAATTGCATGGCTGGAGACTGATTTGTCAGCAGTGACATTTCTGTTTGCCAAGCAATTGCCTGGTGTTGCTGTGTAGGATGTGAGATAGGATTCCCTGCAGGGCAGTGCCGAGGATCACAGCAGAGCCCTCAGATGTGCAGCTCCAGAACCCATCCCACAGCCAAACTTCATCTCTTCCCCATCCTGGTTCCTCTGGAAGGGTACATGCAACCTTCATCTTGCTGTAGCATGACATTAATGAATAGGCATAGATGCCAGTTTGCTTTAAGTTGCTCTGAATTGTCACTGCCAAAGAATTTTATTGGTTTATGTGCATAGAATGAGAACCACAGAACAGTTGGGTAAGAAGGGCCTTTTAAACCTGTTTGGTTTAGTACAGCTGGTGCTTCTCTGAACATGAGACACTTTGTACCCTCTTCCTGCTAGCAGCTGAAATGATGTGGCTGTCATTCCTTCCCTTCGTAGATGTCCTGGATATCCACTCTGTCACAGGGATCATCGTGGGGGTGTGCCTGGGGCTGCTCTGCATTCTCTTCTGCATGTGTGCCAGCTTCCGCAACAGCAAGCACAGGTGGGTGATACCTCAGGTAAAGGGGGCTGCTGTAGAAGGAGACAAAAACACTGAGCTGCATCCCCTGTTCAGCTGGGCTGCTTGGGATGTGGTGTAGGGGCCAGTTAGTGCACAGCTTGGACCTGTGGATGGATAAGGAGTATATTTAGTATAATCTTTTCACTGATTTATTTTTTCAGTAGTTTCTCTTCAATTTGCATTCTTAGACTAGTAGAGGTTTTTTCAGAGAAAGAAAAATCCCCAAGAAAATGGAAGAACCGATTTATTACCTGTGTGTGTTAATTTGGGTAGTATTTTGCTTCTGAGGTTGAACAGCTCTAAGGATGTTTGGAAATGGTTTGTTAACTTCCATGGGAAAATGACGAAAGACTTTGTAGTGAGTTTAAGGAGGATTGGATAGAGCCCAAAGCCCTCTGCTGTCCCAGGGATCTGGATCAGCCACAAGCATTTGAAAAAGACCATGAGCAGAAAACAGCTCAGTTGTTCAGAAGAGCTCTGAGCTCACAGCAGATCTCAGGGTTAGCAACAAAGACCTTCTGAAGTCTCATCCTAATGTGGCCACTAAACTTTCCTGTCCTGTTGCATGTCTAACCTGTAAAACACAGGTGACCGGAGTGACACAGCTGCCCATGGACCAGGGGACCAGAGTGGATGAGCTCTTGCTTGTGCTGGGACTTGTAGTATCTCCTGCTGTTGGGGTTTGCTGGCAGAGGGACAGCTTTGCATCGCACAGTAGGATTTGTCTGAGCTTTGGCATTAACCAGGGTGGTGCAGAGATACATCTGCAGTGAAAGGTATTATGGTGGGATGTGATGATAAAGAATATCCCCAGGAGTGGCAGGGCATGACTTCGGCTTAGTCACTTGTACAAGGACCAGCTGAGATGTCAACTCTTGCTTGTTTTCCCTCAGGGAGGCCCTGCCAGGCCTGGATTCCCAGGCTGCTGGCAACCACACATACTACCACCGGAGCAGGCAAGGGTTGGCCTCTCCCAGTGCCACCTTGGACTCACATGAGCTCGAGTCCCTCATGTCTCCAGTACCAGAAGATGCACCTGTGCCCCTGGGGGACATCACCGAGCTGGCAGAAGTGCACAGCCTCATCCACACGAGCCTCCCTGAGGACATCTTCCATGGGAAGAGGAACGTAAGGACCCATGCACATGGTGACTGGGCTGCCACCTTTGACAAGGGCCTTTGTTTGGTGTGTGGCTGCTGGGAAGCCAGGGTGGGATCCTGTCCTGGCTCTGCAGTGACAGAAGTCTTGGCTGCAGGCTGGTGTTGGGCAGACACACATTTCCCCTCTCTGTAAAACTTGACTGGCTCAGCCTTGGCTGTTGGATATCATTTGGGATCCCTGTGAATCTATCACCCATTTTCATCTCCTGGGACAGTGACCCCTCAGTCTGAGAAGCTGCTGCCAAACTTGGTGCTGCAGAAAGCTGTGGTATTCGTGTTGCTGTGGCATGTGGATGGTGGGAGGAAGTGTGATGTCTAGAGCAGACACGTGCCTTCCAGGGTTGTCTAAAAGGAGCTGTCTCCATAAATAGTGTGTTCACTGGAATACTCTTGAAGATAAACAAGAGGTGAAACTGTGAGGGTTTGGTGAACCTTGTTTTTTGAAGTAGTCTTTTCCTGTCCTACTTGGTTTGCCTGACACTGCATTGTCTTTCATTCTTCCCTGCCCATTTCCTCTTTCAAGCTTGCCTGAAACATTTCATTCCATTAGGGAACCTTTAATTGGCCTAATTTAGTTAATCTGTTTATGTCTCTCTTTGTAGCCCTGGGAGAGCCTGTAAAGTAATTAGGAGGTTCAGTAAAACAAATGCATTGTGAGCGCATGGGATTTCACGTTTGCATCAATGATGCACTCGTGTGTCACTGGAGGGAAGGTGAGTTCAGGTACCTGGCTGACCATGAGCCTGCTAGAGGCAGTGCAGGTGTGATCTTTGGGAAACACAAAGTCTTCTGCTGGCTTTACTAGCCCCACGAGCTGAAGCCGTGCCCGTGGCCATCCCTGCGTGCTGTGGCAGACCAGCGCTCAGCTGGAGGAGAGGCTGTTTGTTTGCAGCCAAGCCACATCTATGGATTTCGGTGGAATGTGGCTGCCTGTCTGGACCCAAGCCGAAGAGTGTGAGGAATTTCCTACAGCTCTTTCAGTTAAATAAGGAACAAATGTTTTCAGTGATGGGGACTTACCCCTGAGAACAGGTCAGGGTGGGGGGAAGTTCCTTTTTTGTGAGGCCTTTCTGGGGGCAGCACATCCAGCTCTCTCTTCCAGAGCAGCAATCCTGCCCGCAAGGGCTTACACCAAGATTTGAATACATGCAGAGTGGGGCTGGAGAGGGCAGTGCCAAGGCGTGGCCACGTGAGGCCCAGCCTGAGAGCTGGGGGCCCTCAGAGTGGGCAGTGCCCAGCAGCAGAGTCACAGTCACAGACCAGAGCTTTGTGGGAGATGGACTGTTCATCCATAATTGGATGGGGAGCGGCCACTGAGAGATAAATTCACTGAGAGGTTTGTTTTTTTGATGGATGTGGCTAGAGAAGCAGGGGTCACTGGGAAGCAGCCACCCGGAGAGCAGCGTTGTCACCCGTGCCGACCAGGAGGGTGACCCGGCAGGTGAAGATCGAGTGGTGGCCGGGAGCAACAGGCTGTTGTTGCTGGGAGCGGGCACTGGAGGGAGATGTGCTCCCACTCAGGAGACCCTGCTCCCTGCACTGCCCCATTCCTGCTGGAAGTGCCACCTGAGCACCATCACTTCCTTTCTCTGCTCTGACTTGTATAATCAAGCGTGAAAAGAATATGGCCAAGAAACACCTTTATGCTGCAGTGGCCAAGAGGCCCCATGGATGGTGATGAGATGTTACCTGGCTGGGCAGTCAGGGAGTTGGGCAGGTCTCAGGTACATGGCTAGAGTGGTGCACACATGCCTAGTGCCTACACTGGGTGTAAACCAAGTCAGGAGCAGTTGTGAGTGTGTGCATCTCCCTGCTTGTACACAAAATGCCTCTGAGGCTGTGGAGTGGGTGTGGTTGTCCTGTGTGCTGCAAATATCTTCCCCCAGCATCCATTAAAGCTGGAAATCCCCAGGGACCCTGCCTGGAACAGAGTGTTGTGGAAGCTTTGCACCCTGCAGTGACCAGCTGCTTTTGTTGCCTTCTCTTTTTTTCTCTCATGCTGTGTGAAGTTGGGGCTGTGAAAATCCATGGCAAGGAATGCAAGAGAGGCACAGGAAAGAGAAAATCATTGTGGAAGGAAATTCCTGTCCAGCCTGGCAAGGGGAAGCTCCCCAGGGTGTTCTAGATTGGATACTATGACTTGCAGTCTTATTCACTGAAGAGAGGGAGTGAGAAATGCCTCAAGAATCCCTTTTGTTTAGCAGCATATCATGTCACCACAGAGCTGAGGACGTTGGCTGGGGCAGACCCTTGGGCTGAGGCTGCTGGCACTGCAGGGCAGGTTTGTGTAGCTGTGACCTCCAGTTGCCTGCTTGTCCCTCTCTCCTCAGGTTACTCTCCTGAAACCTGGTTTGTGTTGGCTGGTTGGCACTTGCAGTGGCTGCTCTGTCCCTGCAGGCTGTTCCCATGCTGACTCATTACTTACCATTCCATGGATTATTCTTTATTGTTTTTATGCTTGTGGCAGCCTGAGGTTCCAGTGGAGATTGGATGCTCCATGTTAGACACAAAGAAGGGACTGTCCCCATGCCATATGGAGTCAGAAATGAGTGAGTGTCGTTTTACAGGTGTGGGGACTGGAGAACAGACTGAGGGCAGGAAGTCTTTAAAACTCTGAGATTTGAGCTGATTCCTGCAAAGAATTGTGGGGAAGAGTTGTGAGATGTCCCCTTGGTCATTTTCAGGTTAAGATCAGCTCCTTCAAATTTAGGACTGTGATTCTTCTTGAGCTGTTACAGACAGTGCTGGAGGTGCAGGTTGGTGCAAGTGGAAGGTGGGAGAGTCACAAAGGAACCTCCTGGACCCCAGGACAGCAGGGTAATACTGCAGTCAAGGTGTCATAATGTGACCCCTCTGGATGCTCACAACCTGCCATTCAGTGGTTCATTTTCTTTCCTTTATGTGTTTCCAGTGGTCACACACAAGGATTTCTAAATACACTGACAAGTGATTTTCCTCTGTTACTCTCTTCCCCTTGCTAGCACCCCCCGGACTGATGCCCTCAGTAGCCCTGTTATAAATGACACAGTTGTGCACGGGCTGTGGTGATGCAGCTCTGTCTCCTCTGACAGATGGGCTGAGGATGATAAAATGGCTCTGCTCCAGATATCTCTGTCACTGCTGCTTGTGGGCCAAGCAATTTAAAGGGTGGAGGAGAATGTTAAAAAGCATCTGCTTTCCATGGAAAACGTCAGCTTTTCATTGAATGAAGCCAAACCCAAGCATTTTGGTTTGGAAATGTTTGCTGTTGTTGTTCTTGTGAGCTGGAGCCTTCCTTGCTTGCTGCCCTTCTCCTTCCCTGTGGGCCTCCTTCCCACAGGACTGCGCTTCCCACGAAGCATCCCCGTGACTCGGAGAGCAGAAGCTGTAACACATCAGGGAACTTGGATCTACCCGGGTTGTTTGTCATTTTCATGTTGAAATTTTTCTGCATGGAAAAGAAGTCCCAGTGTTTTCCGAGAAGCTTCAGACGAAAGCTGTGTTCCTGGTGACAGCAAGCAGAGACTCCTTTATCTGCTGGCAGAGGTCTGTGTTGTGTTGCATCCCAGATGCAGGCAGGGATGTCGCTGTGTTTGCGTGACACGGAGCTTTCCCACTCCCACCCGCTGCTGTTCAGCAATGAATCCTTTCTCTCTGCTGCACCACTCTCAAAACCTGGGCACATTGAAATATCCCCAGCCTGGTTTTGCACAGGACTTCAAGCTACTTTAAATAACCACCCTGAAAAAACAGGGAAGGTTTCAAGTTGAACTTTTGCTATGTGTTTATTCTCAGCTCATATATTTGCATGAAATCATGACTTGTCACTGAGAAGGTAACACGATCTAGGCACGTTTTTACCAGTTGGAGTTTCTATAAAAAGGCTAAAATGAAAAGGCTTGTTTGCTTTGATAAGGATTTAGCTGTAATGGAAATGTCTTTTATTGGAAGATGTTTTTATTAGTTTTCATTCTCGTGTTTGCAGTGAACTGACAAAGAGATTCTTCCCTCTTTATATTAGTATTAGACTGACACTCCTTGCTCCTTTCCTTCATTACTGTGTTGTAAAAACCAAGACAATATTTCCTTCCTTCAGCCACCCACTAGCTTCCCTTGAGTAAAAAGAAATAGTATCATTTATTACACCAAAAAATGCTGCTTAAAAAAGCAGTGAAGCTTTCAGGCACACAAGATTTCTTCAGGTCTGTGATGAAAACAGTCCTAGAGTTAATTGCTATGCCCAATCTCAGAGGCTAAGCCCCAAGAGGGGTTTGTCTTTTGCTTTTTTTTTCCCCCCTCTCAAACATAATGCGCTCGAACAACATGTGGGACACAGGCCATGTTGTGTGGCTGATGGTTTTTTCTGTTTGTTGAAAGTTGCAAACTGGTACAAAACAAGTTTGTTCTTCATTGCAGCCAATTTCAGCCAGAGCTGAACAGGCTGTTCCCAGAGTCATCAAAACCTATGTAAACATGGCAGATTGACATTTCCGCTAACAGATGGTCCATGGGGGATTGCAGTAGAGCTGCCTGTTTCTTTCCACGTTTTTTGGTATTCACAAGATGCCTGCAAGAAGGTTTTCGAGTTTGCTCTGTGTGTGTGTCTGCGTATGATGCTCAGATCTCTCTGATGGCAAATATGCATGCAGGCATCTCTTAACAGGACACACATTTGGTGCATGTGTGCAGATTTGTGTAGGTTCAGCGCTGAAATTTCCAGGCACTATTTGCTCAGTAACGTATGTTCCTTGGAAGAGGCACAGAAGCCATCAGTCAGGGATGTAGCTGCAGAAAGCTTTTCAGATGGCAGCAGAAGCAAATTGAACACGCTCCTTGAGCACTCGCATGTGGAGATATTCCTTATTGTGAGCTCTCTGTGATCGCTTGGTTGATTTCTCGCTATTAAAGCGTAGTTTAATGATTGTCCACTTAGAAACAGAGCAATTAGGGAAGGCTTTTGGCTCAGAATATATTGTTGAGGATTGCAGAGAGAGAAATGGAAAAGACACTGCCTCAAGCATCCACATCTAAATTAGCAAATGTTTGATAGCCACAGTGCTGAGCTTGGACATCACTGTTCTGCAGGGTGTTGGCATATCAATGAAGCCTTTCACTATTTATTTGCTAAAAATTTGTCCTGAGGCAGCAGCAAAGCTTTTGTGACTTGGGGGTGGTGCTGGGATGTAACATGGCTCTGCCTCCCACAAGGTGTTGAGCCATTTGGGTGCCTGAGTGAAGGTGGACAGAGAGCTTGGGAGCAGCTCTGGCTGCCCTTCAGCACATACACGAGTGCTGCAGTGTCCTTCTGCCAGCCCTGGCAGCACGAGGTGGCATTTGCTTCTTACTAAATAGCTGACTTAGGAATGCCTGGCTCACATACAACATCTGGTGGTGTATTTCTACCTAATTTTCAGCCAGATGGGCTGAGGCACAAAGAGGTCAAATGACTCACCCAAGGTCAGGCTGATGTCAGAAATCTCCTCGCTGTCTCAGCTGGACTCACACTACGTTGGCAGTTGTTGGAATAGATTTGGCCTAAGGAGCAGCCACATATGCAGAGCAGGAACCTGGGCTTCTGCTGGCAGTGAGCAATAAAGGGTCCGTGGGTTTGAATAGATGTGCAGGGTATCTTCACCCTACACAACATCATCCTCACATCACCAGTGTTCTGCATGCATGTGTAAAGTCGCTGTTGTCGGGTCAGGATTTTCTCCTCCTCTTCTCTGCATCAGCCTCTCTTGTACCCACACAATAATGTAGCATCTGTGGAGCAAAGCCAGAGATAATGGGCCTGTGTGGTCCTTAAATATGAGTTGTGTGTTTTTGTGTATATGTATGTGAGTACTAGCAAGTACTTACCTCAGGTACATGCAGGACAGCCCAATAAAATCAAAACCTGGAAAGAAAATACTTTTCTGCCTGTGAACTAATAGTCTGAGTTGTTAAATAACTTCAGCTCTTAAAGACACACATTTCCCATACACAGAGGTGTGCATTCAACAGTTTATTGCAAGGGGAAGCTGAAAGAACCCAGAACAAATTGCGTTCAGCCCATATAATTTAATTAGATCTACAAACAAGGTAACACTGGTTGCCCAGGGGATTTAAAGCTGAGCAAAGAATTGCTTGGTGGTCTGTTGTAAAAAAAAAAAAAAATTAAAAAAAATTAAAGCCCCCAGTTTTGTGCCTCTGTGTTGATGAGGAATGGCAGAGTGTTTTCCTAAGTCCTGGCTTGGAGCAGGAGCTTTTGTCTGTGCTGCAGAGCGAGTGGTTTAGCAGAATGTCGAGCTCTTACTGGAGCACACAGGGCACTGCCCAAGGGTGAGGGTCCTCCTCTGTGATGGGGAGCATGGCTTCTGCCAAAGCAAAGACTGTGGTCACTCAGCTCCAGATTTCCCTGTCCCTTCCCAGCTCTGTGGTATTTCTCAGTAGGCTTGTTCTGCTCTGGGCTGTTGCAGCTTTGCAGGGAGTTGATTTTAGTGGACCTCTAAATGATGTCTGTGCCATGATTTACCCACTGAATCAGTGGAAAGCCCCTTATGCAACCAGTTGTGAACCATCTGGCATCTTTTATCCCTGTGCTCTGCATCAGCCCATGTAACAGCAATAAAGCCAGTTCTAAGGCAGGGACCGTGTGAGTCCATTGCACAGCATTTTTATTTTGATGCTATCAGAAGTGTCCTCCACATTTATGGTATTTTCACAACTTGCATTTTCCTTTTTCAAGCTGCTTCTCATTTCATGTGTATGAGGATAAGAATACATGTCTGTGATAACTGCATCTTTTCTCCTGCCACTTTTCTCCTGCAGTCTTCATGGAATAAATCAACCAACCAGGCCTGGACAAACAGCATCACCAGATATGGGGACACCATCACCAAAGAGCCTCTCTCTGCTGTCAATGGGTCACTGAAGCTCCCCTCCAGTGCAGGGCAGAAGCTTCTCTTACAAGCCCTGGTTTATGACGCTGTGATGGTGGGTGATGATGCTTTGTTGACTTGTGTGTTCTCATGTGGGTTTCCATTTATTTCTCCATCTTCCTTTCTCCTTTTTCCAGCCCCTTTCTGTGGGCTTGGTGGTCTGGTGATGGCCAGGTGGGGTCAGAAGCTTGATTGTCAGCAGGGTTGTGGCAGTTCTGGTTCCTGAGGACCTGGTGCCAGGCACCAGCAGTCTGCTTGCAGTCTTTGCTGTGGCTGGGCAGCAATCAGCCTGAGTGAGTTAGGAGCTGCAGTGCTCAGCACAGTCAGTAAGATCTACAGCATGCTTGCCTGACAGAGGAATTGTATTTTTGGCTGTAAGAGGAGTCAAAGATCAAGGGTTGATTTAAACTCCCTTCTCCAGATAGGGCAGAGCAGTTTTCAGTGCTCTTGTGTTCTGGGAGGAAATCCTGTTTCTGATATGGCATCACTGGAATAAATATGCACTCCTGTGTTTGGGAGAGTGTGCATCTGTGTAACTGTCTTAGCAAAGGAAGCTGACACCTGCTCAGACTGACTCTGTACCAGATTTCTTTGGTTATTCTTTGAAAAAGTTCATTCCCCCTCCCCAGCAAATACTTCTAAGTAACCTACCTAGGCTGTGGTGTGAAAATCAATTATACACAGGATGTAATTAACATTGTGGATAGAGTTAAGACAATGTTTTACAGCCCAATTACAGGGCAGCATATACAGCACAGCTTACCCATCAGAGTTTGTCAACAAAAGAGAAAAGTGTTAAAATATGTAAATGATGCTCAAAGTTGGCTTCAACAGAAAGTGCAAATTACACGTGGGATATCACTTCCATACTCTGAATTGTCTTCTTACTGCTACATCACACTCAGCCCAGAATCTGAGCGTTGATTGCCTAGGGAGCTCTTTGTGAGCTTCTACAATAATTTGTCTGGTAAATTACTGAGTGATAATCTCACAAAATGACCTGCTTCTCAGCCAGATTTGTGGAGATCTGTAGCCTGAACTCCACTTAAGCACTGCGGAGCAGAACTTACTGTTTTCTTTCTGAATTAAAGTGCTTGAATTTACACAGACTTTTGCAGGCTGTGACCAGGGCTTTAACAAGCACACACTTTGTAATATGTAGCCAAAATTAAATGAGGAAAGTGAAGGGAGCCCCTTTATCCATCTCAGAAGCCAGTTTCCTACAGTGCTGCCCACTCAGCCTCTAACAATCTGGCCCTTAATATGGAAACACACTGATGAGATTTGAAAATTGTGGTCTTTGACAGAAGCTTGGAGGAATGGTTGCTCCAGCCTGCCAAGAAACTGTGAGCAAATCACTTTGATCCCTTGGGACTGGCTTTCTCAAACGTAAAATAGAAATAATGATCCTGAGATGATTTGAGTTGCTTCTTAAGACCTAAGCCCTGAGAAACATATCAAGATAATGCTTAATAGAGACATGTGTACATCCCATTGCACTCAATGGGATTAAAAATAAATAAATTTTATTGCTTGGTTTGGTCACAGCCTCAGTTATCTGAATTTCACTTATGCTACCTTTTTTTTTTTTTTAATTTCTCCCCTGCTTGATAACAGAATGAAGCAAAGAAAAGCCACCTGCCAGCCAGCCTCCACCATGTAGAAGCAGAAGTCATCGTCCATTCTGATTTTTCAGCCTCTGACAGAGACTACAACTCCCAGCTGCACACCCTGGAGAGCGAAGAGACAGAAATTGAGGACCGGGAGCTGGAAGAGCTCCCCTCAGCAGAGCTGGCTCTTCCCAGTTCCCAGCAGGACACTGGCCAAGTGGTGGTGGACTGTGTGAACAATTTGGAGGTTCAGGCACAGGCTGAGCTGCTCTGTACCAACACAAAGACTGACAAACCAGAGGCTGTTTGCATCCATGGGCTCACCAATGGCTTCCACAGGCATGGAGAAAGTCTGGATTTGGAGAGTGGAGATTCGGATTCCAGCCAGGAAGGCAGGGGTGATTTGCAGCCAGTCAAGTGCCAGTTGCTTTCCACAGCACCTGAGGAGGACCTGCTCTGTAGTAACTCTGGTTTAACCAGTCCATCCTCAGCATCTGAGAACATGCCACATGTCCACAATCACAAAGAATGAACTAAACTGACTTTGATCACAGCAGGGCTGAAGCACGAGGAGAGCCTGTCCCTATGAGGTGTTGCCTGCCCTCAGCTGGCTGAGCCCAGCAGGAGCTGGTGCAGCATCTCACCAGAGCAGGGCTTGGACCTGTCAGCTCTACAGAGGCCTTCGGGAAGCCAGGTGGGTTGGAAAGGGCCCATCTTCCTCCCACTGAAGCTGCTGAAGAACTGAGTGTTGGTGGGAGCAGGACTGAGCCATCTGCCAAAGTCTGCCGTGGAACCACGATGGAACAGAGCCTTCTGCACTAGGCTGGGGCTGTCACTTCACCATGGCCCTCGAGGCGATTGGCAGGACATCCTTTAACACTGGGAAGTGGCAGAGTGCACCGAGGGATCCTTCTCAACTGCCTCTTCCCTGGGGAGTGCCCGGGCACTACTGACTGCCTGGCAGCGTTGGGATAAATTCTGGCACAGGAGTCCCAGGAGCGGGTGGAAGCCCCAGAAACAAAGGCAGTGAGCTGTAAGCACCAGCCTTTTCTGCCCTCCCGTGGTTAGAAGGATTACCAGGCTCTCTGTGTGCGCTGCTGCAGTAACTACTACTAGCAGGCTGATGTAGTGGCCTTTTATTACACACTCTACGAGTGCCTCTAACAACTTGTACTATATAGAACCTTCTGCAGCGTCTGGGTCTTTTCACCAGCCTGGGCTTTGTTTTATGTAGGTTCTTGTACCTAATATTTTAGGTACACATCTGTCCTTTTAATGTACAACATGTATTTTTATTTCCTTGGAACATCTTTATATTATTTAATTTTATAAAGTGGAATAGTGTGTGGTATAGAGTAGCATTTTTACTACTTCTCTCTTTCTTTATTTTTCCTCCCTAACAACACAACTACCTCATGTCTGTTGGAAAAAAAAAAGCAGTAGATCTACTCATTTGTTATAGTCCATTATAGGTTTTAACTTATTCTTATACTGCCTTTTTCTAAAGAATATGTTTGCACTGGTTGTTGACTCTTCTTTAACACATAGTGCTGCAGATCTGATGTCTCTCATGCTTTGTTTCTTGACACCTTCCCTACAGCCAGAGAGTTGGGTTGTGTCTCTCTGTAGGACTGTGTTTTGGAGCAGCTGCCAAAGGAGACTGCTTTAGCTGGCAGGATGTCGATCCATCTTTCCTCAACAAGCTTATACTAACAAATAGAAAGAAGAACCAGCAATTGCAAAAGTAACTTGTGATACTGGGGGCAGGTATTTATTTTCTCTTTTATTGGGTGCCCGTGTGGAGACATCTCAGATGGTTTTGGTTTACAGAGAGCAGCACCCAGCCTTCTGTAAACAGTGGACTTGCTGAAAGCCTTGGATGAACAAGTGAAATTTTCCAGTCACTTCTGATAGTCCTGGCCAAAGTGCTTTTGGGTGCTTTTTGTTTTTTTTTTAAAGCAGAATGCCACCAGAGCCTTAAAATTAAATCTTTGGTCTCCTACGAGTCAGTCTGGCTTGAAAATCATCGACTGACTCTTCCTGCTGATGCTGTATGCTTACTGCTGACATGTCTCTCAGCCTGGCCCTGATGAAGGTGGACTTTTCTCTACTTTTTTTAGCTGGTCTCTGTCCTGCTCCAGGCTTGCACGGTTTGACTGCAAATGCTACAAGAGTGGACCAGCTGCTTGGAGTTAACAACGATCAATAATTCTGTTCATGGGTGTTTGATGAATGTTTTGCCTTCCTGGAGGATTCAGACATCTCACCATTTGTTAAAAAAGTGAAGGAAAAGATACCCACCTTCCTCTTTTCTTGCTGAAATTCTCCCCAGGGTATATGGGGAAACTGCGTGCCAACTTGAGATCCTGTAAAAGACTTTAGATTTTGTTTTTCCTGGTGACGACTGGGTTGGAGGTACCACTGCTTGCAGCATGGCAAACGTCACTTCACCAGCACCCTGCAACCCTTTTACCTCCAGCTTTTCAGCAAATGAGAACCTCCAAGCCTCCATGTACTCTGATGGGAAGGAATATTGGAGCTTCCACTTCTCCTCAGCTGGCAGCATCTCCTCCCAGTATGACACACTGTTCTGGTAACCAGCTGTATTTCCAGTCATTGGGATTGCTCTGTTTCTCCAGCTTGGTGTCTTGAGGAGTCTCAGAAATGCTGTTCCGTGCTCTAGCTAGCCATGACTCTGGAATCTGTGGGACAGAGACTGGAAACCAGTGCCAGTGAGCAGGTGAAGGCAGGAGTTGGTGTGTGTGCTATTGGAGCGAGGAAAACACAAGGAAACATAACTGGGCAGAGGAAGTGTGTCAATAACCTCCAGAACCCACTGCCACAAGACTTTGAAACTCATGACTTAGCAGGGTTACAGATAAGCAGTGAAGTGTTATTGCAGGCAATAAGGGCAATTCACAGTTCCCTGGGAGCGATGCAGTCACAGACGTACAAACCCTCCAGCTGGGCAAGGCCAGGCGCTCGCTGCAGTGCGTGGGGGGACATTGACCTGAGAGGGTGGCCTTCAGGTCCCAGTTCCATGAAGAGTTCTTGCCCTTCTTCAGTGACAGAACAGGCCCTGCACAAACCACACTGCCATTGCCACTTTCCATCCAGGATGGTAGGAGTGTGCCACACTTTTGGGGGTGCTCCCTTGTACATGCACCCCCTGCTTTGCCTGTACAGCCTTCAGCAGTCCTACAGCCCTGAGCTGCCTGAAGGCTGTCCCTGCCTGTCACTGCAGCTCACTGCAGCAGGAACAGTGGGCACCATTCCCCTGGATCACTTTGGTCTGAGGACCAAACCACACAATAGTTAGAGGCTCAGAGAGCTTTGGGGAGATGCAGCAGACCACAAACAATTTTGTTTATGCATCCCCAAAACACTTTTGTCACCGTATGCTGAGGCTTGTTCTGATCTCATTACCCTTCACCAAACTATACTAGGGTGTGAAGCTGGCAGTGTTTGGCTGTCCAAGAACTGTGGAGGCCATGGTCTGGTAGGGCAAACCTGAGTTGCAGAAAAGCCAGACAGTTCCCTTGGAGCCAAGAGGCCACCACTGACCAGCAGCACCAAAGCTGTCCCTGGATGAGCACACGTCCACACAGTGCTGGATGTCCTTGTCCAACTCAGCTGTGCTCCAGGTCCCCCCTGCCCTGAACGTGCAGGGACCTTTCAGTCTCAGCTGGAACTGAATCGAAGACACATAATACACTTTTGATGTGTAAAGCTGAAACAACCAGTGCATATATTTTTTTATCATGAAATAAGTAGCTTTTTCTTGCAGATTTCTCACAGGCACACAAACTGTTGATACCTTTAATTACCCATCATGCTTAATGTTCCTGCACACCAGGCTCCTTTCTTCATTTTCTTCCTTTCAGTAACACTAAAGATTATTGCTGTTCAATTTTTTTGCTGGTGTATATTGTTTTACATTGTTAAAATGTCAGGTTTGTCTCACTGGCATAATTTTCTAGTATTAATGTTACTTTTTGGCTACACAACTGTATATTCCCCATGCTGCTGTGAGAGTCACAATTCTCATCCTTTTATTTCTTTTCATTTCTTGTTACATGAAACATGCAACTCAGATAAAAACCTCTATCAACTTTTTGTTGACTTGATTTCTTACTTAACAGGCAGCAAAGTTCTGGTTTAAATAGTTCAAATGAGATAACTTCTGATTTAGAGTTGTGATTTTTTTTACATTACTAGCTAACAATCAGCCCATGAAATATTGCTGTGTAAAAAAACCCAACCATTTTAATAGAACGCTGTATATGGTTTTGATCTCATTAGTAATAGGTGTTTTGAAGGAATCATTGTGTCTTTTCTAATTGCTACTTTTGTTAGAAAAGAAGTGTTTAACCAGCAGAAATCTACCATCTACTTCTGTTACTGTATTCCCTTGCTTGTATTTTCAAGTTAAATTTCATTTTCTGCACAGTGCATAAAGATGTGTAACCAGAACTTGATCTTGTTTGAAGGTTGTGTCTGTGTTTGGTTCCATACTGTACTTTATTATAACTTTCTTTCTTCAGACACTGTTCTTACTCCACAAATACTCTTTAGTGTTAAAGTGTAATACATTGTCCTTATATTCCTTAACTAATGGGTTATTAATAAAATGTTTTTTTAAAAACAGTGGAATTTATCTTACAGTTAAGTCTGCTCCAGCTGTGTGAGGCTGTACCTTGCTGGCAGAAGCAGTGGTGGGAGCAGAATGCAGGATTCACACTCACGTCACTTCAGCACCAGAGCTCATCACTGTGAAGGTTGTGAGATGTTACCAGTGGGTACCTGGTTCCTTAGGGATTCTTCTGGAATTTCAGATATGAGCAGAGTTTGGATTCATTAGGCATTTCTGGATGCTTGCTGCTTTCTCAGTTTTGAACTGATTCCTTTAGGAAAAACTATTTGTCCAGTTTCATGCTTTATCTTGTTGGGAAACTTTAATGGTAAAAATAAGTAGAGGCATCTAGCAGATGAGTGGTGAGAGTTCTCTTGGATGGCACACTGGGCTGAGCCCTTGGTGGCTTGTGTCCAGCAGGATTGGTGAGAGGATACCTGCCAGTGCCCAAGGACACTACTATTACCCTCCTGTGCATCTCCCTTCCTGGGATGCATTCCCTACTTCAGTACATAGTTTCCATTATTACTTTATGCTGCCACGACTACAGAGCCATAAAATCTCATTTTATCTGCATTACAGAGGTAATAAATCTGCACTTAGCAGTGTTCTCTGATAGTGGTTAAAGGGAACTCTGTCAGACTGTAACTCTGATGAGTTTTTCTCCTAATGATAGGTAACCCCACAAACGAGCAAGGAAGGACCTTGGAGGGGGTGATGGGTGACTGCAAATCACTCTTCCAGCTCCCAGTTCACAGCATAGGATGCTGATTGGAGGCTGCTGAGAGGAGCCACGGTGGGATGGAATGGATGACAGAGATGGACTGACACAGCAGTTACAGGAGAGAAGTGAACAGCAAAGCATCAGGTTGCATTTCTTTCTCTTCCCAACCTTTGTCACCCCGACACACTGTGTAAGGATGCAGCTGGAAATACACTACAGTGGGCTTGGGTTTCTCCTGGTCTCAGGTAATTCAGGGAGTTACAATTTCCAGTGCAGTGCATGGCCCACTCAGCCCTCTGGAACAAGGCACAGCATGAGACGGTGGGCTGTGTGATGCAGTGAGGTGGTCAGGTTTGCTTCACAGATTCTCAACAGACTCAGAGAAAACGGTTTCTGCTGGGGAAAACATCTTCCAGAAACAGATCCCGGGGTTGTCCCAGCACTGCTGGCATGGCTCTTGGCTCAGTGCCTCAAGGTGAGTGCCACAATTTTAGCTCCCACTCCCTGTTGCTCACTGACCATGAAGTGGATGCTAAAACCCTGCATCTTCATACATAAGGGAAAAGCTCCCAGGCTGTTAGCAGGCAGGGTAACCACAATTACACATAGAATAATAAATGGAGTGAATTCAGACAAGTTAATCTCCCACTTCATCCACTGAAACTACTAATGGTGTCTTGGGGACTTCAGTTTGCAGTTAATTGGTGTAAATCAGGAGCACAATTGGAGCTGATGGAGATTTGCTGTGCAGGGAGTGAGGGGTGAGCGATGCCCTCAGAGGGCATTATGGAGAGGGAGGGCAGAGGGACAGACAGATCCTGTGCCCCTCAGCAGCAAGGGGGACAGAAGAATGGACCCATCAACTGCTCTGCAGGAAAGGGTTTGGAGCCTCAGTTTGGGCTGGACACCGTCACTCCTGTAACCCAGCTGCTTTTCCAAAGGCTCCGATTTCTGCTCGCAGTATGATAAGCAAATTCCTGCCTCCAGTACAAAGCAACTTTTCTAAGCCCTCATACTTACGTATGAGTGCTCTGAATTCCTGCTCTTAGGTGGCTCCAAAAGCCCCAAACCTGCCTATTCCCTAAAAGATCTCATGGTTTTTCATATAAGTCCTATTGTTTGGCCACAGTGGATGATTTCAGAATGTGCCACCAGTGCTGGCACCAGTGTAATTTGCAAAATGTGAAGGTGAACTTGGTGATACCCTAAACACGTATCTACCTCCCCCAGCCCATGGCTGCTGCCAGGGCACATGGCAGCAAAAGCACACAAAATCTGTGGTTAACAGGGAAAGCAGCCCTGTAAAGCACATAGTGCTCAGTTTCTCTTGGAATTATTAATTCCCACAAGCCATCCTCAGTAATAATGGCCACAAGTCCATGATGGCTTCAAGCGTTACATAAATGCTGATGGGGCCTCATGGCAGGAGCCAGGGAGTCGGAGCAAGAGCACGGCTGGTGCCAAAAGGTCAGGGACAGCACAGAAATTCAGATGTTACCGTGAGGCTGGCGGAGCCAGAGCAAATTCTTCCCCAGCTGGAAGGAGCCTCGTACAGCTCAACCCTCTGCTAAACGAAGGAAGCTTTAATGTGGAGCAGATGTAGTGACGTCTTCTTTCCTCGTTAGCCGACTCCGACAGGCTCAGGGTGCACCATCCAGGGAAGCCTCACATTGCTCCTCTTCAAAAAGAGATTTTCCCCAGGTTTCTAGGAATGGTTACAGGGTTTAGTAACCCAGTCCACAAAATCTGGTTTTAGTCTGAAGAAAGAAATTGGTTAGGATTGACATTTATTTCATTTTAGTTCCTTTTTGCCAAGCAAACACCACAAAACACTGAGCTGTCTTTGCAGAGCTGGCTTTTGCTGCTCGAAGTGATGATATGAGTTATGTTTGTGGAGAACATGGGCCAAGGGACAGGGTAGGATCAGTTGGAAGGCACAAAATACTGTGTGGGCACAGGAGGTGAGAGCCTTGTGAGAACACGTTATCCTTATTTTATGCCAGGAGGGCAGAAAATTGTCCTGTCCTTTAGTATTTAGGAACACACTCATCCCTTACTTGGCCCTTCCTCACTGGGGCATCTTCCCAGGTGAGTGGGCTGGTCCAACACCTGCATTACTGACTCGGGTAAGTCACTTAGGACAGCATTAAAACCAGGAGCACAGAGGTGGGACAAGCCAGGCTCTTCTGTGTCCCTGCGAGGTTGCGCCAGTGAGGGGAGACAGGTGAGGGGAAGCCCCCTGATGTATCCCTGGAGCTCTGGGAAGGGAGCCCCGGGAAGCGAAAGTGGTGAGGAGAGATCTGTGAGGGGGCTCCGGTGGCAGGGAGGGGACACCGTTGAGGGGTCTCTGGTGAGGGAGACACAGGAGGGGACACCGGTGACGGGAGACTCCTGGAGCAGCTCTGCTGAGGGGAGACCTGTGGGGCTGCCTCAGTGACGGGAGACCCGTGAGGGGGCACCGGTGAGAGCAGCCCTGTGAGGGGAGCCTCGTGAAGTGGCACCAGTGAGGGGAGACCCGTGAGTGGGTTCTGAAGAGAGGGCTCCTGTGAAGGGAGAAACGCGAAGGGGCTCTGGTGAGCGAGACACATGAGGGGAGATCGGTGAGGCTCGACCCGTGAGTGGGTGTTGAGACGTGCTCTGTGACGGGAGTGCCGTGAGGGGGCTCCGGTGAAGGCAGACCCATGAGGCTCCCCGCACACTCCCCGCGGGTCCCGGGTGCGGAGTGGCCCCTCACGGAGCAGCCCCCGCCTCTCAGCCCGGCCGGCGCTGCCGGCGCCCCGGCGAATGCGCAAGATGGCGCAAGGCGCTGCCCGCCCGCCCCCCGCCCGCCGGCGGCCCCGCTCCCTCAGCGCCGCCCCCCGCCCGCCCGGCGCGGCGGCGTGTTCGCGCCGAGGGCAGCACCGCTGAGAGCCGCTTTTCCCCTTTTTCCCCTTTCCTTTTTTTCCCCCCTCTCCCGCCCTCCCCACAGCTGGGGGTGGTTCTCGCCTGGCCGCCCTGCCTCCTCCCCTCCCTCCCTCCCTCTCTCTCTGCCGGCGGGCTGCTCCCTCCCCGTGGGGCGCAGGGAGGCGAGCCCGCCCGCCCGGGATGCCATGGCTCCGCCGGGCTCCGCGCTGCCCGCCTGCCTGCTGGGGCTGCTGCTGCTTGTCTGCCGCGGAGGTAAGAGCCGAGCTGGGCTGGGCTGGGCTGGGGGAGCGGGCAGGGGCGCGGACATGGACCTGCCGCCGCCGCACCCGGCACCAGCGCCGCTCCCCGCGGCCGCTCCGTCCGTCCGTCCTTCCAGCACTTCGCGTCCCCTCATCACCCCCGAGCTGGCCAGGGCATTGCTCGTCCCCTTGTCCCTCGCCATCCCCGCCGCCGGTCCCGTTTCCCTCGCTCGCCCGCGGTCACTGGCAGCCCCGCGCTCTGCCCTTCCCCGTGGCCCCGGGCCGCCGCGGGGGCTGAACGGGGCCGAGCAGCTCCGCGTGTGTCCGCCCGGGCGGCGTGGGGTCCCCGCGGGCCAGCATCCCCCTCCGGGAGGGCGAGCAGGGGTGGTGGCTTGGGGCTGCAGAATCCCACACCAGCCCGTCCAGCGCCTTCATGCGCAGAGATCCTGAAGTGCTCCCCAGAAACTGTGCTTCCAGTTGGAAACCCCTAGTGCGGGGGGCTCTAGGGAGGGACGGTGGTGTTTGTGGAGCCCGAGCCCCCATCGCTGGCGCTGGGGAAGGGGTGTGGTGGCTGCCGGGGCAGTGGTGTGGCTGGCCATCTACCCGTGCCCGGATCGTAAGAGCCGCCGGGATCGTCACCGCGGTGGGAGCGGGAGGCAGCGCCCGACGGACGCGTCGCGTTCGTCCGCAAAGGCTCTGATAGCGACAGGGAAGAGATGTTGGGAGACAAGTTGCAGGGATGAGGGCGATCAACTTCAGACTTATAAGTATATTGTGCTCTCCTGTTAACGCCGGCTCTGTCCGCATTGGTAACACAGTCCACCAGGCTGGACAACAAAACATCAAAAGAGAGCTTTCCCTGGACCTACTGTGCACATGTCCTGCAGATAAATGGCAGTGTTTTTCTTCTACTGGTGATGCTACTTAAGCATGGGTCTAATCTGACAAAGATGCTGTTCTGCAGCAAAATACCCGTGTGTAGCCTGTTCTAGTCTCTCTTTAACAGCCTTCTAGATAAGGAAAAGTAGGACCTGAGCAACCTGGGCTAGTGTAAGATGTCCCTGCCCATGTAGGGGGGGTTGGAATGAGACGGTCATTAAAGTCTCTTGCAGCCCAAACCATTCTGTGCTTATTCTATGAACTATTAAAAAAA